TTTCATCTTTATTTGCTTTGAAGAAAGCTGAGGCCGAATCAGGGATATTGTGGGGCTATGACTTGAAGTGGGGTCTCAAACTTCGAGGAATGACAAATTAATAAAAAAGTACTGCAAAAAATCCACCTCGCGAAGTGCAAACATCTCATTTTATCAGTGTTGATTATTTGTTCTGAAATATATCTAAAATCGCTTTTCTTTTGGAGACCTCACCGAAAGGCTCCCTGCCGAGTCCCCGGCGGCGTACGTGTTTTATTCATATCAATTTTACCTTTCAGCCTAATTCATCATCAAATTTGTTCGTCTTTGTGGTCGATGCACCACATAATATATGGAGACATCAAACTCCAAAATTCTGCCGTGACGAATGGACAATTTTTTTTTATATGGTGGACTCAGTCAACATTTGCAGGTAAATGATATGGTTCCTCATAATTTTCGTGCCTCCTGAAAATTTTTTTCTCCTCACCAAATTTTGATGTCTCTTGAACTTCCATGGACGTAATGAATTTACTCAAATTTTTTTTTTGTGACCTGCTGCTAGTTTTATGCTACTCTCTTTATGATGTTCGCCCCAAACATTGTTGTGAGTGCTGTATTTAGCTTTTTTAAATTATTTTCAAGCCAAAAGACGAGATTCTGGGTGGATTTTTTGCAGTACTTTTTTATTAATTTGTCATTCCTCGAAGTTTGAGACCCCACTTCAAGTCATAGCCCCACAATATCCCTGATTCGGCCTCAGCTTTCTTCAAAGCAAATAAAGATGAAATTATTTCTGCTGCACGGATTAAAAAACAGAACTTGAATGATCTCAATCACGTGTCAACCATTGAAATATAAAATTGGGTGAAATTTGCGAAGATCGCTCGCCTTTCGCATGAACCAGCATTCGGTTTCCATGCGCCAGTCGAAAACCTGCCTGTGGACAATCTCATCGTGTAGCATTTGAGCAACACTCAACATTTCTGCACACCAGCCCAAAACACAGGCGTTTTCAAGGGCAGTCTTTTCCTGACGAGACAAACCAGTTGATCTTTTCGACGAGTGAATATGTCCTTGCATGCCTTCCTTGAGCAACTCGCGACTGGATTCACTGAGAACAAACGTCGGATGAAAAAAAAAAAAAAAACTTGGTAATTTCAATGTAATCTTGTCAAAAACTGGATAAGATTACAAAGAATTAATTTGCATATAGCAAATCATTTTGCAAGTTCCTTATATCGCCACAATGTCAATTACAGGTAGACTCTCATCTACAAGAACTTTTTCTAAAAAAAAAGAATTTTGTTTTGGTTCCATTGTAGTTTACTCGTACATTATTTAAGACTAGAGGTTCTCTATAGCGGAATTCCCTATAGACAGAATTTAAGCTTTTCTGACGAATTACAAAAAAATTATGTTTTCCTTTATGTTTCTCCTGATGCTGAATTTCGCAGCTGAGACAGCTATAGCACCTATTTCAGACTTTCAATGCGAACAATTTCAAGTTCAAAATTTTTTTTTAATTGAGGAGAATTTTGTAGCAATTTACGATATAATCGTTTGAAAAAAAATCATGGCAAAGTGTTATATCCAAACTAGAACCATGAATCTCTTAGATAGTATAATCTTATTACAGTGAGCCTTTTATAACAAATTATTCCTTTAAAAACATTTTTTGCAGGTCCCTGATGTGCCCAAAAGTCACAATGGAATTTAAATTTCTTCCATACCAAACGTTTTTTGTCCCGCGATGGCTTCATTGTAATGACATTGTTTTCTATGTCGTACTTCCACCAGTTTACAGTGTGAACAAAATGATTTGATGCTGCATGAAAAAATATGTGGATGAGGAACCATGAATAAGTAACCTTTACAAAGTTCAAAATTTTGAACATTTTATTTTTTGCAATTTTAGTTTGCCCTTTTTTAGGCGATGGGTATTTGTGGCAGGACATTTTGAAAGCTTTGACCATCTTTCAGGGGTTGACAGTTCTGAATGAGGGAACAAGAAATTTCATTTTGCGTTTTTTTTTCATCTTTGTTATTCCCTCAATGGCTTTCCTTACATTTTAATGATTCTGAATGACCAATCGGAAACGTCAATTTACATATAAGTAAAGAAAAACGAAAAATTACATGAATCTTCTGTGCATAAAGTCTTCATTTGTACCTTCCATTGGGTGCCAGTGCACAACTAAGAGCAAACAGGATCTCTGCCACAGGGTGATCCTCGCGTCCATGAAGTGAAGTGTGCTCCACCACAGTTCCTAACCAGTCCAACACTTCTGGGATCTCTCTTCGCTCTTTGACGCCTTTGCCCAGCAACGCGGGCAATACTTTATTTTGGAACACCTTGATGGGTATATATTTTTTGAGACATTCATAAAAACCAACAATTTCCATGAGATACTTTTTTAATTTATTTTACAAGTCTATTTTTTAAATCTTGATACAATGCATGTTGATGGATTTGCATTGGCTGATCTGCCATCAGCATAAATTTAGACCAGAGTTACCCAATCCATGGTCCATGGACCAGCAACAGTCCTCAGAAGTTTTTTTTTGTCAGTCTACAAATATGTTCTTCAGAATGAGAAATTTTTCAAAAGAATTAATGAAGTTTGTGATCTTTATCTGAAATTTTGGAAAGACAATATTGGCAGTTGCAATTATCTGATGAAAAATGAAAGCTGACTTTTATCCTAATAAGGCTTCAGACAAATGTTCACCTGCTGAAATGAAATGATTTAATTTTCCATTCTGAGAAACCTTTCTTCAGGTCCACCTTTCTAATTTTCTGAAGACATTCCAATAAAGCTGCTTCAATGATTCACAATATAAGTATTGCAAAAATGCAGAAACTTTTTGAATACCAGCCATGAAGTCTTTCAAACAAAACATTTTGAGTCTGCAAAGATTTTTTGAAACTTGGCCAGTCTGAAGAAAATGCCCCAGAAATTTGCCAGTCCTCACTCCACAGACAATTTTATGGAAAAAAGTTAGTTACAAATATCTTTCAATTAACATAACCCGACCTAACCTAACCCAACAAATACTGAATTCACGAGACAAATAAAACTGGGTACTGAGATAACAGGAAAGTACCGAAATTTGCTTGTCTGTAGGCCCAAAAATGTTGGGGAACACTGATTCAGATAGACTTACAAAAAATATCTTCCCATCAATCAACGGTTTTAAAACAGAATGCTGATGCGCATATTCCAGCTCTCATTACATTTGCGTATCAGAACATACGAATGAATATTTCATGTTTGTCATGAAAAAAAGTTTTAAAAAAAAGAAAAACAACGCAAACTGTACAATACAATACTGTACTTATTTTCTTTTTAATTGCAGCAGAGCAAATGAGTACAGTATACGTAGATGGATGAAAATTTAAATGAGCCCTTTTGTTTATGAAGATGATGCAGCAATTGAAAAATGTTACACTTCCAAGAGCACTTTACTTTTGACGTAATATAAAGAGCGAGATTTTTATGAAAAGATTGATGTAATGCTCAATCTTTTTTCCTACTTTTGACAAACCTCGTGAAAAAATTCTGAATATTTTCTCTGTCCGTCCAGAAGAGGAGCAGAAGCATCTTCTCCCTCAGCAGTTTCTTCAAAAGAATGCCTCGTTTTCAGGGTCTGCAGGCCAGTCATCCTGGCTCGATCAACAAATTTCAGACTTTCCTTCAAATGCAATTTCCGTCGATTCCGCAGTTCTTGATGGGATCTGGAAGAACGCTCAACGACATCTTTCGGCTGAATCGGAAAAGATGCAGCATTTCCGCGAGAAACTGAAGTTTCCGATTCAATCATTGAAGTATCTGTGGTCTTGGAATCTCCGGGGACTCTGGCTCGAAGTCGAATAATCCCTGGGTTTATCCTAAGAATGCGAGTTCTTATTTTTTTCTTCTTGCTATATTTCATCAGCACAACATGAATGACACACACAATTAGGTGTTGTCTTATTTAGGACACGTCGACAGAATTTTTTTTTTTAATCTGTAACACTTCAAAAGTGAGTGATCATCATTCGCGAACAAATTTCGATCAAATTCGAGGGTGAACTCTTCATCCAACAAAAATAATAATATCTTGTAAAAGTATTTATCGAACTTATGGGCTATTATAATGTGCGATTAAACTAATAACATCCGTTGTAATTATGGTTTACAGAATTTTTCTGCGATTTTTTCGCATGAAGGTAGATTTTTCCGAAGTACACTGCCAAGTAAACTTTCGCTAGGACTCCAATAATGACAGAATTTCTGATCAGTAGCCAATTCATTGGTTTTTTCTTCCTGCTTATTGATTTCATCGTTAAAAGTTCAATACGACAGCATTATATATAGCTCTTGGAAAATCTACCGTCATTCGACATACAGTAATGAATCACTTCCAATTAATGAGTTAATTCGACGAAGAATGAGTGCCCAGCACAAGTATGGGGGTTTTCTTACGAACAGCAGGAACTCCGAAGAGTTTCATTCATGATTTTTCCAAGGCAAGAATTATCTTTTTTTTCAATATAGCTTCGATATTTCAACTTAAAGTAGACAACAGGTATTTGAATGCATTGAAAAATTGAGTTTGGAATATTCAACAGACAATATTGGAGCTATGCAATAGTATGATGTCTGCTACTGAAATCCATCTAGGATCTAATATTATTCTGAACTTTTAAACGTTGCGACCGATGAAGTGATAATTTTTTGCGAATTTCAGAATGGCTGGCGTACTGTACGTGTCATGTCCTCAAACAAACCATTTCGGGAGGCCATTTGAATTCAGGAACAATGAAGGTCGAAGGTACGCCCACGGAGACATCATATTGCAGTCAATAAGTAATCTAATCTCTAATCAGACTAAGGATTAAACGCTGAATTTCAGTCCATATAAAATATTACAAAGCAAACATTGTACTGTACGAGAAAATCGTACGCGAAGACTCTCGCGATTGAATTAGCAACACAGTTTTATTTTTCTTTATTTTTGAATGAAAAATGCAGTACTATTACGCTTTTTTGAAAAAATATTTTTACACGCTTGAACATTTTAAATTATCTCCACTTTGTTTCCTGTATACAGTGTAAACGCTGCTTAAGATTCCAAAATTTCGTAACGAAAGCGAAGTACAGGGTAGTCTCTTGAAATTAAAATGGTCCATCGCTTCATTTCAAGTCGGTACCTTATGTAAAACTACCCAAATTAATAAACATAATTCATCATTAAGCTACTTGAAAATGGTTTCTTGGCCAACATACCTTCTGGTGGCTGATTTAAAATAAGGTACAATGAATCAGCCGTGAGATTGGCAACCCAATAAGACTTCCATTTGCAAGGATAAAATACATACACTCAGCGAACATCACAGATCACAATCCAGTCATTAACCAAATAGAAAAACTCAAATCATCATTCATCCACTTGAACAAACTATAAAATCTTGGTCCAACGCAAGATACACGCAAATAATACTCGACTGCCAGCATATGCATCAACTTATCGCGGCTTAAAAGCAACAGGAAAAACAATATCCTCGTAAGAAGTTTCACCAGCGAAATGGAACGAAGTTAAAGCAGCGAAAACATTTCATACATTGCACTTCTTCAATCCAAACTGACTTCAGCATCTTTCCACACCTAAAACTGACCGAAACGGTTTTGATGATGGTTTTTTTTTCTTACTTTTTTTTCGTAGCACGCACTGATATGAGTTACTGCAAACGAATCGTTAGATCATTCCTAAGCACCAGAATAAGACTGCATATAGCTTCACTATGGCGACCACCGCGTTGAGGTAATATTACACAAAATGTTTCTTCACCAACTAGCTGCGACAACGTAAACGCTCCACTCCGTTCAGATTTCATTTGGAGGACTGCGACAGATTCTTCTTGCACTTCAGCATTTCCGACACCCATCTGAAAACAAAACGTGAAAAGCCATCACGAACGAGTTTAGCGAACAAAAACAATGATTAATTATTAAATTCTTTATTGTCTTATAATCATGAGGCGCTTAACGTCACGGTGCAGTTGCAAGTGATTATCCATTATTATCATTAGAATTTTAACTTTCGTGAGGCACAATAATCCCGTATGATCTCACTTGAACCCATTGAACAAAAAGGGAAAAACGCCTTCATAAAATATTCGTCTTTAGGATTTTATAATACCGTCCAGGCTAAATAATCGAACAAAACTTGCGCCCTCAGAATAAAATGAAATATTTCGGGTGCGTAACACAAGATCATCGTCAAGATACACAGGTTTCAAAATTAAAAAGGAAAAACTCATTACAATCTAATTGAAAGAATCATCCAACAATTTGACGCTCTGTGTGTTCAACATGATAGGAGCGCTTTTGTGGTAAAGCGTGTCGGTTGATGGTTTGACCAGTTTTAGTCGGAATTCAAATATCCAGAACATCGAACGGCTCCTTCATTTCGGACTATCTTAAAATACCTCGAAGAATTTTGAAGCTGTATGTAACGGCCAACTTTCGATTCCCAGGAAATCGCTTCGAATGAACTTCTTCGAGTAAATTATTGAAAGAAAATTTGTTGAAACTAAAAAAAAAAAAAAAAGAAAAAAAAATACAGACAACAAATCAAAGCTCACAATAATGAAAAAATGCATCCACGACGAAAATTAAGCCAGAATCCACATTCACAGAAGTGTCGCTTTTGTCGATGAGAGCCCACTTTTTATATTCAATAACCAAGGCAGATTTCTGATTATAGGCAAAAATCAAGTCCATCTCGCGAATACAGCACTCCATTTCCGAGACGCCCCCAAAAACCAAAGCATATTATCAATGTGCTTCGAAATTTAAAACGCACTCTTCCACAGTTCGCGAACACTTCAAAACTTGACAACTGCATCGGGAAAGAATACATTAAGAAAATACCACCCACCGGTTCAAATCTTTGGCGGTTTCGGTCTGAAAGTAGTAGGCCTTGGTCGAGGAATAAATTTTGAAGGTGCGGTCCCGCTCCTTGTCGTTCACCATGGGATCCCCTCTCAAGGCAACGCCGTGGGACAGAGAGTAACCAGGGACTGGGGTTGCAGTCAAAGCCCGCTCATCTGTGGGCAATTTGTAGCTGAACAGCGCACCGCTTTCGTGCAGCACGAACCAACGCTTCACCCAGGTTCGTCCACGGGCACTCTTCAGGTTGAGGTAACCACTCACCACGCATGGTGAGTTAGCGGGTACCTATAGTGAGAAGAAACATGTATTCAATCAATCAGAGATTCACCGGCATTTCAAAATAAAAATTGCTCGCAAATAACGAGGATATTCGTGAAGGGATATAAAATCGCAATCCTTCGAAGCCGATGGACAATAAATTGACAGTTTCTCAATTTTTTCAAGAGCTCCGGGATACAAAAACCTCGTCGAGTTTTGCGCCTTGACTTCGTACCCAAACTTCGCAATTTACAATACTCGGTTTTAGAACTGCACTGTACTACATTCAGAATAGGAAATAAAAAGGAAGAAGTACATAATGTTGAAACGATTACAGGCGGAGTTAGGGAGCAGATTTTCTGAACAGGCGAAGGATAATCGAAGACATTTATGGCGGACTGACTTTATTCAACGATGTGGCTCAAAATAATTAGAGGCATTCCATAAACATTTTATTATTCCTTTTGACCGACCATTCACGAATCACGAAGAAGTTGCGAAAAAAGGAAGGAAAGGAGGGGAAAAAAGAAATTCATAATGCTAAAACGATTACTGCCTGACTTGAGGCATTGATTCTTCAAACAGGCGAATGATGAATGAGGAGATTTTACGGGGACTGAATTTGCTTGACGACGATGTCCAGAATAATTTAAGGTATTCCATATTATTTTTATAAATCTCTTTTGACGGACCATTCATGGCAAAATCGTGGAAAAAAGCTATTTAAGCGGAGGCTCATAATAAAAAAAACTGCAATTGATGATGTTGAAATCAGCGAAAATTGCCATAAAACCTGCCTAAGCAGAGCAACACTCATATTAGCAGCTTCAACTCTGATCGGCACTCCGTTTTCGGATCACACCTACTGCATTCGATTTCTTAGATGTGATCATGAACTTGACAAACAAAAAAAGGCGATTTCTTTTATGACATGATGCGTAAAATATTTTACATAGAACACAACTTACATCCAATAAACGAGGTCCAAGGCGGAAGTGCGAATCGCCATTCGCAATAAATCCGGAATCGCACGTGCCATTCGTGAGCGTGATGACACTGTCGGCTGACTTGAGCGAATCTGACTGATTCGCAGATGCGGCACTTTGCAATCGCTTTGAGCATTCCTTGCAAACTCTACTCTCTTTCCCGCTATAGTACTTCAAAACTGCCTTCTGATTTGAGCACTTTGAACAAACGACCTAATACGGAAAAACAAAACGCGGTATAAAAATGATAACGGAGTTGAATTTCATTTCAGTCGCGTCGAGAAAAACTCACCATGCCACAACCGTGACAATGATGTTTCCGCTTGAACGTGAACGAAGCCCCGCAGTCCATGCATTTGCTGGCCAAGTCCATTCGCTGCAGAATCGGAGGAACTTCCCCTATTCCATCCACCGAATCTCTCATAGGACTGAGTCGCAGAGACGATTTTCTGTTGCACAAGTCTTCGATCACTTCCACGAACGACGAAACCCAAACTTCTCGATCTTCCACGCTCCTACCGAACGAAGAAAGACACGAATAAAGAATACAAAAAGTCTTTAGGAAAAAAAAAAGATGATGCATCGACAAATTTCCTAATTTGATGAAAATTACTGCATTTTCCATAGAAATTTTGTCTCATTCGCACGCAAGTATAGACGGAGTCTCCCAAATGCTAGGGATGCAATCTCCAGAACGAAAGATTCTTTTCCGAATACCATTTTCGCTTACTTCGTACATCAGATTTGAAAGCAATTTCAACTTACGAAGTATAAAGCTCGACGGTTCTCTGTCCATCAGACAGATAGAATGTATTCGGCGTCTCAAGATTGTCGCCTTCCAGAACTTGCAATCCCGCCATCGGGAATTGAGCTCGTAACCGATATTGGGCAACGCTGCCGACAGGCAATCGCCTCGTTGAACACAACAGCACCAAGTCAGAGAACTGAAACATCCGATTAGAATCCCAATGTAAGACCAGAACGATGTTATTTTTTCCCAACTCGAATAATAAATAAGGTCACAGTAGTCACTGAACATTCTGCACGAAAACCTTCGAAAATTCATGCGAGAAGCGATACTTTCAACTACCATCATGCAAAATGTAGAATAATTTCGACGCGAACCCTCATTCTCAAATATAAAAAAAAGTAAAAGGACTGAGAGTCAAAATTGCGTCAGTTTTTTTTTACTGCTCACCAGAAACATATAGCGTTCTTGATGATCACCGGAACGGGCGGAAATTTTCGTCACCTTTCCTTCACGAATCAAGGCTCTAGAGGGGCTTACAAGATCAATTGTAGACACGCCGCCCAATCGGTCTTGTATATCCAACAGCTGCTTGAACTGGTCTATTTTCCTCATAGCGTCGTTGGCGTGCGTCGCAGCAACGCTGACTAAATGCAGGGCTTCTGAAGACAAAAAAACAAAACGAAAAAACGATACAGCATTACAAAATTGTTTTCAGAAAAAGACACATGTAAAGATTATTCAAGACACCGGATGCATCGAGAAGAGTTTTCAATATGAAATAAAATATTAAATTGGGTTTCCGGAATGCATCAGTTCTTTCCGCATGCTCGGAGCCGATTCGCAGGATCCCAAAAGCATAGAAGGATATTTTTCGATACACGGGAATATTTTCATCCATCACATTCCGCCCATGTTATTATAGCCTTCAGCCCATGAAGAGAGTTGATCTTCTGAGAAGCCGTTCCCACGGCCACCTGAACACGAATTTCGCCCAAAATTATTGCTCATGCTAGATAAGTTCAGCAGATGCATGAAAACCCGCTTTGTAAATTAAAGTTAGACCTCGATAAAACAAACCTTCATAAGTAGAATAACTCCCTATTTCAAATTCATTTCAAGGCCTGTCCAAATTCCCATCAAAATAATGGATTTATAGACCTCTCTATCTGGAGGACTTTCCCCATCCCAAGCCTCTAAAACTTCAATTTTCTAGAGGTTTTTTGGCTGTAAGTTTTGGGACCAAAGAAAGGAAACAGCTATAAAAATGTAACGTCATGCTTCTTGAAAGAAAGTGAAAGACTAATTGGATAAATCAGCCCTTGCCTCCAACTTACAACATCCTGCCAACCCATTCACGAATCAGTTTTGGGCTCCGATTTTCACAAGGTCTTCTGGCTTTTTTTTTTGTGACTCAGGAAAAAAAACAGGAAAAAATGTAACAGGGATGCTTTTCAGAAGGAAGTGAAAGACTAATTGGGCAAATGAACCCTTGCCTCCAGGTTCCGAGTTCAGCATCCTGTCAATCCCTTTATGAGGCAGTTTTTGGCCAAAAATATCAATTTAAACTGCCACGAATTTATGTTTCCTACGAAAAATGGAACAATGGTTTTCCCACCTCGAAAATTCGAATCAATTTTGCATTTCCTTGGAATTCGACTAACAGAGATTTAAATGCAGTAGGTCTCTCGAAGAACACAACAATTGCAACAATAAACCTGATCCTTATTCAAGACATTTCATGATCACCAAAACAATCCAAACTTACTTTCCGTGTGGTCCCTATCACTAGAATCGTCCGGCAATCGCTTAAGGTAGTCTTGTAATAACAGCTGGTAACGTGGTAAACGTTGAATCGGGGACAACATGTGGTGCTGAAGCGTCAAATTCCCGCACTCGGGTAATTGCTGAAATTAAATAGAAAGTAGTTCAGAAACCGCGTCTTCTCCGATAAAATGAAAAATAAATAAACTGCCGTCAAACCTGAATTTCTTCAATGACAGCCGCAAAGCGAGAATTCTTGTGCATCAGTGCGTTAATGAGATTCATGGCGTTGTCGAAGTTCTTCACGTACTCCGTGTACATCTTCAGGAACGGAGCGAAGTCCTTCATAATATCACCTTGGAGAAGAAGATGCAAATTGATTAAAAGTTTCCCAATCAAAATCACACATTCTTCATTCACACACACAAAAAAAGAGTCGAGAATATGTGTTCATGCGGATGAAATTACCAATGCGTGGATCTGAGTCCCATTGATCCATGCGCTCCCTCAACTTTGGTAACAAAAAGTCATGGTGAAACTTGTACAATGACCTGACGTTCGAGAACATCTGCGGCAGCATCTCCACAGGAAACATCTGCTTTGCATCATTCTCACGCTTCAGTCTTGAATAAAACACCTGAGTACAGTGCAACAAAAAGAAAAAGATCAACTATAATAATGAGGCAGCAACTTCAATACAGTACTCGTATTGTACTGTGATGTGGAGGACAGTAGTCATTATTTAACAAAATCTATTTTGAAGGTGTCGAAAAAAAAAAAGTATGTCGGGCAGCAGAAACCATTAAGCGCGATCAAAACTGTCAGATTCTACAAGGAAATTCATCTTTAAAATGCGACGAAGTAAAATTAAAAGAACATCTTCAAGTACTGTAAATCAATTATCTCACTAGCCTTGCACGGAAGCAACTCACAAGTCAACGCGAAACTCAATTCAAAAATTTCGTCACGTTCCTTCAAATTTCGATCCCCGCACCACGACAGGAATTCATCGTCTCAAATTTAGCAGAATATCAGTCAGGTGGGCAACACAAAGTGCGACAAACTTCAAGATCGCTCACAATATTTCAACGAACAAAGATTTGAATGCAAAAAGGTTTCAGTTGTACGTCGAGACACACTTCGGAACAACACGCAAAATAAAATTACCGTAACTTCAAAACAGACCTGATCAATCAAATGTAGAATATCCACGTATGTGCTCTCAGTTGCGAGGAGTTCTGCAGCGATCAAATGCGATTTTTCCCGTTTCGATTCGGGATATTCAAGGGCGGCTAAACTACGATTCGGACTGTTGCCACCGTCTGTACATGATCCCGCTTCGGACTGCTCCGCCACGCTGACGGCGTCTCCGGCAATGTCACCGCATCCGCCATTTCCCACGGCCGTTTCCGGGGCGCCCACGAAACGACTCCCATGCCGTGAGTTCGCCACCACGGTCCTCGACGGCTATGATAAATTCGGAAACGCATGAAAGAAGAAGAATCCATCATTTAAGAATTACTGTACACGACGATTGTTCGAGAGTACAAGTGTACAACATCGAAACTTTATTCATGATGCGAAACTCAATTTCAGCACGATCATGCGTATTCATCTGTCACTGCTTCTTTCGCTCGGTAATTCAAATTTCAGAGTTCCGTTCAAGACATGGTCAAGTCACCGATTTTTCGAAATTCAGAAATACAGCCAATTTTCCATAACTCATCATTCTGGATGAACAAATTTGTTTTCATCTTCCATTCCACGGAACTCAACGGATTTCAAATTTCTAATGAGTCAATGAAAGCTTCTCGTAGTGCTTTTCTGAATTTCACGAACATTCGGTTTTTTGCACGGTATCGAAGCAAATCAAGTTCTTGAAAAAAATGAGCACAACTAGGTTAATTTTGATCAAGCAATTGATCAGCACAGTATTCAATGCAGTGACCTCCAAAAATCAATAAATTCTCATATGTTGATTTTTCCAGGTTCCAGACCAAACACCCTTAGAAAAAATGCAGTAAAATCTCACAAACTCAAAGTTTTTCCTCTCAAAGCTCTACAGTTCCAATTTTTAGGAGGAAATTTGGCTTTTATTTGTGTGACCCATGAAAAAAATAAATAAAAATTGTAACTTGAAAGCATTATCAATTGAAAAAATGAACCCTGGCGGCATTCAGTCAGTTTCTTCACACAAAAAAACGTATGGGCCAAAAATAGAGAACTGATTTCAACTTCTATTCACCCTGTCTCGTCAACTCGAAACCTCCGTAATTAGATTTTTTACTGGTACAGTAGATTCAAAAAACCCTTTGGTTCACCTAAAAAAACAATGTTCATCGTTATTTCCAACCACAGCCCAGATTCTAGGCAGGAGACCACATGTTTCGTACAGCCTTTTAAAAATTAATTTCCAATTTCACTTTTCTATGAACACTAGAATTAATGCAGTAAAATTGTTAATTATTAATGTTAATGCTTTTTCTCGACAAAAAATCCTCTCCACTTCAGCGAAGAAACGAAAGGCAGTTCGAACCTGGCCGTCATAAACCGGCAAGTGGTTTTTATTTCCTTTTTTTCAACTTCCTCTCGTTTACTCGATAAAACATACGGATCTACGCCGCGGTCAAAATCCATTCAAAAAAAGTCACACGCTAAATGATAAAGGGCGGCTCGAATCGAGAACACCGAAAATCCCGTTCAAATATCACACTGAACACAACACTCCAGATGCTAAGTGTACTCTTGAAGGAGTGTTTTGTCGAAAGATTAATTTGACCGATGGAAAGGCAAACAGCTCAGCACTAACACGACAGAGAGAGAAACATTTTTATAAACCGGAAAATGTAGGTAAACTTCCTTTGAGATTCAACACGTCTTCGCACAACGGACAAGCGACCAATGCTATAGGTTCAAAGAATGCACGAAGGGTGATTTTTTTTTCCCCCACGGAGAAAATGCCTAGTTTTTCAACGTTAATTGGATGAGTAATAACAAAGAAACGAGTAATAACAATGAAAATATTATAAGGGTAGAACTGCTCTTCAAATCCCTCAAACATTCCGGAAATCAAGAAAAAAATTGTGCAAACTTGTAAATTTAAAATTTGATTTCAGTTTTAAAAACTCACGAGTATGTACGTATTCACAACATTTGTAAAAACTAGAAAAAAAAATAGCCAGGGAAGAGTTCCAAACACAAAGAAGCATGATTGAAAAATAATTTAATTCTTCTGAACCACATGCCTTTTTTTTCGGGACACGATCGTGTGCCTACGTATATGCATACAGATGTATAAATATTTTTCGAAGCATTTCAAAAACAGCAGCTCACTCACTTTTCGGGTGCCGACAACTTCGTCGTCATCATCGCTCTCTTCACTCTCCGACACCGGGGACCCGCTGTCGTTGAATGTATGCGTCACGTGCTCAGAGCTGAACCTGTCGACAAGAAACAACATTTTAGTGAGAGGCAGAAAAAAGTGAGTTTCTCAACGAGAATAGTAGAATACTTCAACTTTTCGCGACTTGAACCACTTTCGTGTCGATCAAGTTTTTCAATCATCATCATCAAAAATGCATTCCCCCCTCATTGATCAGTTAATGCTATACAGTACAGGTATTCAAATATAATTTAGACACGACGAAATCTTCCGATACTCTTGCCATTCGATCATCCATTGCGGCATTTTCTATGTAGCGCTCAAATGTGAGCAGACTCAAGTTAAGTTGAGGCTTCCTGTGAAGATCGACATTCAATTTTTTAAAGCTTTTTCCACTTGGAGCAAAATGAAAACCATAAACTTATTCAACTTCTGCATCATTAAAAAAATACTAGAAGTTCACACTTGAAAGGCCAGCTGAAATGCGAAAATAAGCTCTCTTTCTTCTTTTGAATCTCTCAAACACCATTGAAAATATCAACAGGAAATGCTGAACTGTTCCCACGATATCTCAAACTACTGTATTACAAAATTGAGCAGTTTTAACCTAGGAAGACAAGATACGGCTTGTTGGCTATTGAAAAATATATTTTTAGCGATGGAGAGAAAGGATGAATTACGTTTTTGCAGGAGTTGAAAAATTGGAGCATCGCCATTACCATTAAAATATCAAGGTGAATCAAGTTCATTATCAATAATATACGGACCAAAAATGAAAATACCGTTGCGCCATCCAAAAAGTATTTTTTCTTAATCCAATCAACCCCTTCGTTGATAAGCGGGTAAGACATGATTGAAGATACTGTACTTCTCAACAAATCTTGAAAGCAGGCAAAAATTTAGGAAAAATACACAAAAGACGGGTTTGATGTTTCCAACAAAATCCAATACATTCAGCAATCCTTGAAAAAACTACCACTTTTTTGACGGCCGAAATGATAGAATTCTTCAACACCTTTGTCCACCGCCTTGGGAAAAAGAGCTCATAAATATCAGCGTAAAAACTATCCAGCGTAGAATATGATAACGTCGAACAAGATTTAACCGCATTTCCGCGCATATCGGCCGCGTGAAAATTTTGAGCATCACATTCAGCAAATAGCACAACATTCATATTTTTTTTACCTACAAACCCTAGAAAACTGTTGCCACAAAAAATTGAAGAAATTCTGTGGGCAAGCATGATTTAAACGCTATTGAAATGTTGCAAAAAAAACATTGTCCGCAAAGGATGTGATAAAAAAGTGGAGCGCAATTCAAATCAGGATATTATCTCGATAATATGTATATCGGTAACAGTGTTACACCCGGGTTTTTCAGGACATTTTCCTGAAAACAAAAGCTGGTACTTCATGTTTCTTCACGCTGACTGCCTAACTGAAACAAATTTGCACGCGGAACCCGATTCTAGGAATGGGAACCAAATACACCCGTTTCTCTACGAAACTCCGATCAAATAATTGACTCGAGCCTCCAAGGGTTCTTCGAAACTTTTAAATCAGTCCAAATGAAAACAAAAAAAAGTGCAGTAAAGAAACACGGTTTCGCTTTGTCTCACACAAGTCCAAAATATCATCGCTGTGATTTCGATGCTGCAATCTTGTCATGCATAACAATACTATTACACAGCACATAAAGTATAATTTATCACACACGCCAACGAAAACACCGGGAAATAAAAGTAACTGCAGCAAACAACATCCCCTAATTTACTTTCACTCAGGACGATAAATCAGAGAGAAAACTGTGTTTGAATGCTGTAAACTGCTACAACGCTTACTTTTCAAAAAAGCCAATGAGCTCGGAAACCCGACCGCGCCCATGTTTTGCCTTGGGCGCCACCTTCGGCGCCAACTTCCGGCCACCATGCCAAGAACNTCAAATGTGAGCAGACTCAAGTTAAGTTGAGGCTTCCTGTGAAGATCGACATTCAATTTTTTAAAGCTTTTTCCACTTGGAGCAAAATGAAAACCATAAACTTATTCAACTTCTGCATCATTAAAAAAATACTAGAAGTTCACACTTGAAAGGCCAGCTGAAATGCGAAAATAAGCTCTCTTTCTTCTTTTGAATCTCTCAAACACCATTGAAAATATCAACAGGAAATGCTGAACTGTTCCCACGATATCTCAAACTACTGTATTACAAAATTGAGCAGTTTTAACCTAGGAAGACAAGATACGGCTTGTTGGCTATTGAAAAATATATTTTTAGCGATGGAGAGAAAGGATGAATTACGTTTTTGCAGGAGTTGAAAAATTGGAGCATCGCCATTACCATTAAAATATCAAGGTGAATCAAGTTCATTATCAATAATATACGGACCAAAAATGAAAATACCGTTGCGCCATCCAAAAAGTATTTTTTCTTAATCCAATCAACCCCTTCGTTGATAAGCGGGTAAGACATGATTGAAGATACTGTACTTCTCAACAAATCTTGAAAGCAGGCAAAAATTTAGAAAAAATACACAAAAGACGGGTTTGATGTTTCCAACAAAATCCAATACATTCAGCAATCCTTGAAAAAGACTACCACTTTTTTGACGGCCGAAATGACAGAATTCTTCAACACCTTTGTCCACCGCCTTGGGAAAAAGAGCTCATAAATATCAGCATAAAAGCTATATAGCGTTCAACAACACATTTGTCCACGCCTTGGGAAAAGAGCTCAAAAATATAAAATATCAGCATGAAAAACTACCGAGCGTAGAATATGATAACGTCGAAAAAGATTTAACCGCTTTTCCGCGCGTATCGTCCGCGTGCAAATTTTGAGCATCAAATTCAGCACATAGCACAACATTCGTAGTTTTTCACCTACAAACCCTAGAAAACTGTTGCAACAAAATATTGTAGAAATTATGTGGGCAAGCATGATTCAATCCCCATTGAAATGCTGAAAAAAAAAACTTTTTCCGCAAAGGATGTGATAAAAAGTGTACCGCAATTCAGATCAGGATATTATCTCGATAATATGAATATCGGTAACAGTGTTACACCCAGGTTTTTCAGGACATTTTCCTGAAAACAAAAGCTGGTACTTCATGTTCCTTCACGCTGACTGCCTAACTGAAACAAATTTGCACGCGGAACCCGATTCTAGGAATGGGAACCAAATAGTACGGTACTTAAAAGCCCGTTTCTCTACGAAACTCCGATCAAATAATTGACTCGAGCCTCCAAGGGATCTTCGAAACTTTTAAATCAGTCCAAATGAAAATAAAAAAAAGTCCAGTAAAGAAACACGGTTTCGCTTTGTCTCACACAAGTCCAAAATATCATCGCTGTGATTTCGATGCTGCAATCATGTCATGCATAACAATCCTATTACACAGCACATGAAGCATAATTTATCACACACGCCAACGAAAACACCGGGAAATAAAAGTAACTGCTGCAAACAACATCCCCTCATTTACTTTCACTCAGGACGATAAATCAGAGAAAACTGTGCTTGAATGCTGTAAACTGCTACAACGCTTACTTTTCAAAAAAGCCAATGAGCTCGGAAACCCGACCGCGCCCATGTTTTGCCTTGGGCGCCACCTTCGGCGCCAACTTCCGGCCACCATGCCAAGAACAGTTTGCGTCCGATGCCGCCGCCGCCGCCGCCGCTGTTAGCACGTCGGCGCCCAGAAACGGGTGCCATTCGAAATGATCACTCGTGTCCAGCCGAAGCACCATTAGGCGCCTCCGCCATGCGCGCCGAAGGAAGGACTCTATTTTTTCTACAGCATTGCAAATAACTTATATTTTTAATTCCTCTCTGAAACTCTCAAGCTGGGCTATTGTTACTTGAATAATCATCAAAATACAGTGAAGTAGAAAAATAAAAGGTATTCAAAAGCGGAATCATTTCAGTACCAAGGCGACTGCCGTAATTTTTCCGAAATAAAAATTTTAAAAAATTACGGCGAATAACAAACCTCTTCAAGTCGAACTTTAAGGGACAAGCAAAAAAATTGAGCAAGGGAAGTTTTGAGTGACGGAAAAGCATTTTTGTGGGGGAAACGAAAGAAAAATTACAGTAAATTGTTCTTGGTGAAATTCTCGGTCATTCATTGGTTTTTAATGAGTTTAAGGATGCTAACCTTGGAGGCATGGGTTCATTTGTTCAATTGATTTAAATCCTGATTCCTTTTTCAAGAAAACATCGGAAAAATTCTCAAAATCGTAAGGACAAAGCGGAGTTTATTTACGTAAGAAAAATACTGTAGCACGGATTCCGAAATTCTTTGAGGCCACATTTTTGCGAATTCTATCGGAACCGACCCGGAATTTCGACATACTTTTCCAAGGAAATGCATACTTGGAAGAAGTACAAGTATTTTTCGGTTTCGGCGCAAAATCGGTGAGGAACACAATTTTCTTAGTTTATAATTTCACTAACTGCTAGGGTTTCACGACAGAGCAATATCCGGATATCCCGTGAAGTATCACCCAAACTTCCGCGTTAACTTCGAAATCCCGAAAAAATTGAGTAGGTAAATGAAAATGGTGAAGCAATTTTTCTTCAGATTTTCATGGCCAACTTTAAAGAATATATTGGAGTTCAGGGGATAATTTTTTCATAATCTAACTTGGGTTTGAGTGAAATTTTCAATGTGTAATAAAGAACAAGAATAATCTTTCCATTAGATGCGACGAACGAAAGAGTCTGAAGCACCTTCGTTTCCTGACAAACACGAATACTGTATTTTAATGTACTTCACGTGAAACCAGATTTTCGGATATGAAAAAAAACCAGAGAAAACTAAATATGTATACTGTACACATACTCTACTGCACTCGATTAACGGAACAAATGTAGAACACCTTTTAATCATGGACAAAATTCCAAAAAAAAACCCCCAAGAAAATATCCAGCGCGTAATTTCCGTGTTCACAGGTGATTCGCTCAAGTCTGTCTCGATTTTTTCTTTCTTTCTTTGCCGTGTGAAATTTTAAAGCAGAATCGACAGATCGGGATTGAGTCAAAGCGCGCTTCTGAATGATATTTCGAAATTATTTTTTCCTACGTTGACATGGTGGGGAAAAAAAAGTCAACCAGGAAACTACAGAAGTTCGAACACGCCACCTGGCGAGCTGACATTGCAGTTGAATCCGGATAATGGACGCCTCGCACAACGCTATTTCGTACTGCCATAATTTATTTTTCTTTTTTTTTTTGCTTTAGATAAAAATTCTGCTTCATGTAACAGACTTCAAGAGAATTCGTGGTCCTGATTGGCATAGGAAATGTGGCTCACACCATCAATTTTGTCAATTGGCGGAAAGCGATTACGTATTTTTCACTTTTTTGAGCATTTCTTTCTTCGTTCTCGAGAGTTTCCGCTCTTCTTTCAGGTTATTTACTTGTTAGTTTATTAAAGAATTTATAAAATAATTTTTCAAGAGAACCTGAAATAATTAGTCGCTCATTACCCGGCCTCCAAATGTAAAGGATTTGGTCCACTAACCGGGGCACTTCTTGCACGACCTTCAAAATTAGTTCACTAAAACTAATTAAATTTCAATAACGAAAAACTGCAAGAAAGCAAAATCGTTCGCCAAACTCGTCAAGGAGGCCCGAAAAGAAATAGGAATGAGCATCTCTCTCGCACCCAATTTCACACTGGCCTCCATAAACTTACACATACACACACCCCTTTTTTTCCCTTTCGCTCTCTCACTCTCTGGGTGTACCTATCACACAATCCCCACTCCAACATACACATGCCATGTGAAGATAACCAAGAAAGCTATTCCGAGCTTGGATGAAAATCCCTCCACCCAGATACAGGGTCTCACTCGAGCAAACTTTTTTCCACTCGCTTCGCGATCGACTAGTTCACACTGGTGAGATCGATCTTTTTTTTTTCTCTTTCTTTCCATCAGGTCTGCGATATCAGCTCGTCGAACGTTAAAGGACGAATTAAATTTAACCCGAGAACAATTATTTTTTTTTTCAACAGAATCGATAATAAATTGACAATTTTTCTCGAAAGTATTGGATTTAGTAGGCGTACTTTTCTCGCCGGATTTCAACTCCCGAAAAATCCCGGTGTCTCAGAAACGATAGCGTCAATAGATTTTTCTGTCCAAAAAAATAATCCTTCCATCGATACATAAATAACGTGATTCTTCTGAATAAATCCTCTCAATATATTTCTAAAAATGGGATTTCAAATGGACCCAGAAAACTGACGATTCAGCAAGTAAGTTTGAGAATGCCATACGCAACTTTTCCTTCGGGAGGATTTTTTGAGCGTGAAATTCTCGCTCCTAAATTGATTGAAGGGTTCGTCTACGGAAAACACTGAAAAGATACTGTAAACCCCTATTTTTCATCTGATGAATTTTCCAGCAAAAATCTGTGCAATTTTAGATCCCACTAGATTAATAGAGGATCCGGCATACTTTGAAGCAAGTGAAAATTCGTCTTAGATCTTACAGAAATTTTAACGAGCAGAAAATGTGAGGTGTATCTCAGAAATCAAGGAGCATCTTCTTCTCGAGAACGTCTTGATACTTCGCAGAGAACAGCATATTTTCGAAAATTTTTGACTGTTCTAAAAATAATCTTCGTCTTCATTTGTTTAAAGTCGCATCCATGACTTCGCATTCACAAAGGGAGCGTTTGGGAATACGAGTCCATAAATGTTCAGTTCTTTAAGATGTACCCTTTACACGCCAGACTGCAACCCATCGAGCTCTTCGACCCCGTCAGCGATTTTTTCCGGCACTGCGCCAAATAAACTCACGCCCCTCAACGCCACATGTGCGTGATTCCCCCCCCCCCCCATTTTTTACCTCCTTCAGCTGCCTGCAAAACGCAACTCCTTCCAGTGCCAAATTTATCCGCAGGATCGATACAACTCGGTACAGCATATCGATGAACTTAGTTGACCCTCAAATTTGCCTGGTTTGTCCAAGCAAAAAATAATGTTTTCCACACTTTATGCGACAATGTCAAGCTTTGAATCACTACTAGACTGATCGAAAATAACCATGTCGGCAGCCAATCCTTCATTTGCGAACCATCTTTGCACTCCAAAGAAATCATTCACAAAAAGTTTATTTGCGCTTTTAGTACACTCCCACACCCAACGTTGAAGGACAACTTCATGTTCATCCCAGCATGAAAATACACGATTCAAATATGATTATCCAATTTTAAAATAAAATAAATATAAAAAAACTGAACAGGTCACACAAAGGAGCGGCTCAGTACTTTTTGCAGAATTAGAAGTGGATAAGACGGTATAATACTGTTCAGTATAAGGAATACATTGGATAGCAGCGAAGTCTCGTCGTTTTTGTCCACGAATTCACAAATGAACCAAGCGTGAAAAAAAAAACTATCGAAAAAATGGGTTTGTTTCCTAAATTTGGCCAGAATCAATTTCCAATTCGAGGCACTTAAAAATTAACAATTAAGCTTAAAAACATAAACAGAAATCACATCGCGTGAGTCTGCGTCCATTTTTCGGAATGAATGTTCATTTAAATGAATAACCTCGTCATCATGCGTGAAAACTGCAGCAAAACGATTACGGGATCCCGCGCTACGAGAGATCATCTTTCCACTCGGTTCTTTTTTTTTCGAAAGTTTAAGATGAAAATGGGAATACTTCAGTACCAGCTCGAAATTGCACTTCACCGCATATTCAGCAATGATTCGGCAATTCAGCATCAGTTATCAATGAAAGAACCACTGCCGAATCTCGAATAACAACTTTTCGTGGTCAGCCATAAATAACAGTTTCCAGAGACACTTGAGACGGATTCGGTCGGCTTCCATACTATAAAACCAACAGAACTTGATTCAACCGAAGCTAAATTAACTAAAAATGCCTGTAACACAACGAACGCCGATAACTGAAAATTAAAATGGATACAAGCGCCATCTATGTCAGGGAAAATAATCCTTAGGGAAGCGTGGAATGTTGACGAAATAAAAAAAATATATACACAGCAGTTGAACTCCGTTTTTTTTTTCTTCTCAGGATTTCTTCTACAGCGATATTCGCCATCCATGTGAAACATCTTTTTTTTTCATGGCAATCCTCTTTTTCAAATCCTCTTCTAAAAAAAAAAAAAAGCCGCAGCACAGCTGCATTTCGAGATTTCAATTTCAGTAGGTCGTGTATCTCAGCAGCATCAGTCAAGGCGCATTAAATTCTAGTTTGAATGATTTCAATTTGAATAATCCATCAATTTTCAAAATGAATATGGAATAAAATGCACCCGGAGCATTTCAATGTATGTACAGTACAATATTTTCCTACAAAGATTGACGGAGTTTGTGACAAGGTTTTCGTGGTTAATCACGGCTACAAAGATCTTCTCCTTTGAATTATGGTTGTTGATTAACCTCTTTTTTTCAAGCTGGTACGAGAATTAATTTTTTCACGTTTTTTTCACGAAGAAATCCATGCAAGAGGCCCCCAAGCATTTGGATAGGCATTTATTTACCCAATAAAAATTCAAAGCAATGGAGATTCTACGCAAAATTATTTTCCGTAGAAATGAAGGTTGATCAAAGATCCCCTTTTTCACACCATTCACATCAACTTCATCACCCTACCATAATCTCGAATAATTGAACCCCGGTGTTACTTATCAAGAAAAATTCAGCGATAGCTAAAAAAAAAAAAAAGAAAGGCAAATATACGCGAGACAGAAAAAAGTGTCTCTTCGTTCGTTCGTTCCCTGACGCGAAAGGGCGTCGAACACTGATGGTTACCGACAGAACCCGACGCTTCCTTCTTTTCCTGTCGCCAGTTCGTCACTCCGTTTTTGCTTTTACATTCGCTGTGCTTTCGTGTATTTGCGCACCTTCCGCTCGCACCGATGCGGAAAAACAATCAGTGCATTCCAATCCACAGACACACACACCATGCGTAAGCGATGAAATCAGGGTTGTTCGAAATACGGGGCTAGGAGAATTTCAACATCAAAAGCAAAATTTATTTTTATACCATTCCTGATTTTACAGTATTGTATTTAAAAAATGTGCCGTCATTCAAACATGAAGCGATTTTTTTTTCAGCAAGAATTCTGGATTTATCCGAATATTGCAATATTGATCATGATTCAACAACAACAACAACAAAAACTTTTAAATTTTTTGCGTGTCGGGTAAACGAATACGCGTAACCTATTTTATAAGGCGAGGCAATCGAAAGACTTGATTTTATTCCAATGATGAATATCTCAACAACTAATCTCGTATCGTTCGATCACTGCGGTTCGAATTAAAATCTCGATTTCGTAGCGAGTGAAAAAACTAACAACATTGAAATTTCGAATAAGCATCTCACAAATGTCGCAACGAAAAACTTTTTAGTTCATTTCAACGATGTTGACGTCATGATTTTGCTCGTCAGGTTAATTTAATTCCCGACTCATCAAAAACGTAATTTGATTCGCAGTTTTTGTTAAATTTCAAGGTACAGTATTTCAATTCAAGGATATAAATTGTCAGCTATATTCCAAGGTATTTAAAATGCAGGGATTTGAATTGTCAGCCGAGTTTCGCTTATACACCCCCTAGTCAGTCATTAACATGATGGTGTTGGTAACTCTTGCAGAAGCACGCACTCCACATTAAACAAGACATTCCAATGCATTTCCAGACGACTTCAGCCTAAATAATCAAACAGCGCAATTTTCGCATAACAGTTTTTTGGTACCCCTCCAAACTTCAGTATGATAACCCCATTGAATCCTCCGCATACGGAGTATCATAAGTTAGATCAACCGGAATAATTACGGTGTGCAATGAAGTAATCACGCATAATCTGACGCCACTGAAAATTTCACGCGATACCTTACAAAAAAACAAGTAGAAAAACAGGGATGTAAATAAAAAGCTTCACACAAACCTTGAAATGCGCTATTACGAATACGTTGCTGATACGTGGGAACAGAGCTGCTCGAGAAAATATTACCACGAAAAATAGGCAGTTTCTTCCCTCTCGATGAATCAGAATTGGAATGTATCATTCGAATACCAGAAAAATTCGAGTTCGGATAACCGAAGTAATCGTGTACAATAATTCACACGATTCCTCCCAGGAGTAAAATAATTTTTCCACCAATATATGCAGCGCTTGTGCAAAAAAATCAATCACACAAGTAGTGGAAAAAAGTCAAACGAAAATAACCTCAAAAATACATGAAGCCTCAACAGATATCATCGTGAAGTATTGATATTCTTGGATGAAAGGTGCAGTATAAAAAAAAAACTTTCCAGTTGTTCCTACAAATGCCAAGAGGGAAATCCATCAAATAGCTCAACTCGGACTGGGAACGTATTAGCCTTGACTTATGACACACCACAGAAAACAAGAGTGGTTTTTCTTCGACACATATACTGTACGCTCAAAATAAAAGCAAAAAAAAAAAAGAATGTCCTCGCGTTTCTGGTTTTTCTTAGCTATTATGCTCACAGATTATAATACTGTAGTTAGTTTTCCATTCCGAACAGGATGAATTGTATTTTGAAAACTGCGTAACGAACGAAAATTGAGGCATTCTAACTTTTGAAATCTTTGGCAAGGTCATGATTAATACCCCATTATTGTTTTTTCTGTATCATTACAAGACAATTAAAATGGAAACTTTCAGACGTGGGCATACCTTGAAACCTGGAAATGAATCATGATAAAATTCCTCATTACCAGTAACGGACGATAGATATTCTTTTGTTGGAAAATATCTCAGGAGAAAATAAAATCGAACACTGTCTAAAATAACACATTTTATCAAGATTAATTCCCAGGTTTCAGGGTAAGAATTAAAAGAAGTCCACATCGGAAAGTTCCCATCAATCTTGTACAAACATCTTTATCCGAAATTCTTCCACAAGCATTGACTCATGGCCCAAAAATTTCCACGGGCACGCAGAGCGAGAGAGATACCACAAAAATTTCAATGTCTTCCGTGTGGAATGAATCATGTCGCATAAAAACTATTTAGGATTTTGCTATATATAAAAACGCGGGAAATTTCCGCAGCAAAACCACGAGCTGAATTGTTCATCTGCCGCATCCGGCGACACGATTCCCACGAAATGGATCTCACAGTTTGAGAGAAGGATCTGGTTATGTGTTCTGCGAAGCACTAACTTTTCCTGACACAGATACAGCAATGTCCAATACGATACATAAAAAAAAAATAATAATAACCGAGATTACATTCAACAATCGTCCAACACTCAATCACGGAGCATCCAAAACCCTCAATTTCGCATCAAGTAGACACATAATTGGGAAGATCATGGTTTTAAAAAATGAAATACAGCACGGTAGTACTGGAGTCCAACTTCAAAATGATTTGCGCAGAAAATAGGCAGAACATTGTTTGATTCGAGAGAAGCTTTTTTAAGGTTTCTGTGTTGACATCGCCAAAAAAAAAAGCCATTGCTCGAAAGGATAAGAAGTTTTTTCTCAACTGCCTTCCTCAGCATCCAGCTGTTTCACATTAAACACTTACAATTCGTAAAATCATGACTCGCTTCGCCGGAATTGCAAGTTTTGTCTCACAACAGGGTTTTATATTCAAATAGCAGTACTTTTTCCTCACTAGACAAATGAAGTACTCATCCGATTAGACCATGCAGGAAAACAGCTGATCTCTCACAATGTTAGAGAGAGCTAGATTGACATTTTAGAAATTTTGACTTTCGCGTGGCATTCGAACCAGGAATTCCAAAAAAATCAAGGTTCGTCTTTCATCAGGAGTTGAGTTTCTTGAAAGAAAAGTTTCGGCTGAGTCAAGAATGTCAATTATTTCAAAAGTTCTGAAAAAATACCCGCGCGTGGAAAAAACTGCGTCGCACAAATCCAAATCCGCGGAACATTCGAAAATTGACAATTCGAATCTCTTGAATTCAAATTTCAAGGGACCACCAAAAAAAAAATTCGAATTAGGGAACTTTCGAATTGAGGAGATTATGAGTTAGGCGTACAAGCATTCCTGTCATGGGAAACGTACAAGATTTGCACAATATTGTAAATGGTAATATTCTGGGCCTTAATTGCTTCTTATATGAGTTTAAAGCACGTTGAACTTGGACAAAGAGGTTCATTCGCCTCAGTCTTCCACTTCCTTTCAAAACACAGAACACATCAATCCACTTTTTTTATAGATTTTTGCTCACTATTATGGTTTTTTTATAGCTTATAGCGTTTTTATGGAGATTTTCGCTTTGAAAAATCCAGATTCCACAGGACTCACGCAATCATCGCAGGCGGGAGGCCGAGACCCAACCCTGATGGGATTTGACAGAGAGTTTCTATCGGAGGAAGACTGATTCGTTTCCAAGCTTTTCTGAGGGATCTGCGGCCTTCCGCAAACCTCAACGAAGCTCTTTGTCTGGACACATTCAACATGTTGAAAATGAAAAAAAAACCAGCAAAACTACGTGGGCTCACTGCGAGCTCCGACGTGAACTTCTATCATCCAATTTTTACTTTTATCTGGATCCGACATTTGCAACACTCAGTCGTTCAGATAAAACTTGCTTATCTTGAACGTCCGTCACAACATAGTCGTTACAAAGATACGAATTTCATGAAGAAGTACCAGTCTTGATTTATTTTTAAATTATGTGAAACACCAGCCATTGTGACGCACTTGCAATTTTCTGCAATTCCAACAGACAAGAAGAATTGTAGCTACACTCGTACTGAAATATTGTACAGTACGCGAAACAAGTGGGAGGTTTCCATAGATGTATTGCAATAAAAACATGCAAGGGTGCTTGTTATCACTTTTTTATAATATAAGTCAAACAGCAAATCAATTTTTTACAATATAAGTCAAACTGCATTCGGCATGAAACTAAAATTAAACTTCCATAACTCAAACCGTCCTAGGTCGATTTTTCCATTCCCTCTCTAAATTCCCTGAGAAACAATGTATTGTACAATATTACAAACCTCCTTAACTCGAAGGCTTATACCCTCAAACCTCCAGCATAACCCGCATGTTTTGGGGGTCTCCTAGCTATTATGTTTTTGGAACAGGAAAGAGAAATAAAAATTCAAATTCATTTTGACAGGAATTTAAAGACTACTTGGGCAAATGAACCCTTGTCTACAAATGCAGCATCCTGTCAACTCATTCAAAGGACAATTCAACGCCTAGAATATCACCAGTTACAATTTCCTCCAATTATTCTTTCTATACCCCCAAAGGATGCTTTTTCCCTAATTCAAAACTCCGCAGCTCGATTTTTTCGCTGATCCCTCAAAGTTTGACTTGAAGAGGTTCAAGTGTACCGTAAAATTTTGAAAAATGCACTTATGAGTAGCTGGATGCGTACTCAAATTTGCAACTTCAAGTATTTGTAACCAGATTAGATAAGGCTTAGAATGTACTCATAGGAAGATGATCGATCAATGGTGGTAACTAATAATTCTAATCGGTGTACACACATGCCCTAAGGTAACCCAATATACTACTGTATAATTTTTTTACGGAATCAATCAATCTGAATTACAGTGAAGTACTTCAAATGTGAATTACGTCACCAGAAATAATCACAGCCTTGACACTCCGGGCATTTCAATTACATCCAAGAAACGAACTCGCGAATTCCTAGAAATATATTTCATCAGGTCCTTCTCACAAACCAAACCCACTCATTCTCACTCGATATTCCAAAGACCTACTTCTGCTCCATGATAGGAACCACGTTCACCGTGATTTTTGTCGTCACAAATTTTAAAAAGGATGCATTATTCGTGTAACGAGTATACCGACTTTATTTTTGCATACAAAGAATAAATCATGACGGGTACATTTCATCAAAAATTGTCAAAATCCATTGGATACGAGAATGAGATTTGGGTCAAATAATATCCGTTTCGCGGAACGAATTTTTCCCGAGGTTGCAGTTAAAAGACGTGAGACCTGCTTTCGATTTTCCCAGGTTAATACAAGAAAGAGCACATACTGTACAACCCAACCCATTCAGCCATATTTTACCAGGTACGAAACGCTTCTCCATTCGACAAAATAATGACCCCTGTACAATCGCGTGAGAATCAGTTGATCTTGTCCATCTTGAGAAGAGCTCTTGGTTCAAAAGATTTTAAAAATAAAATCAGGAATACTCACTTGTATGTATTGGTGCTGCCACAATATTCGAACGTGCTCCTGTGGGTTTTCACCCGGTAACCTAGTCTGTTTCCAGGAGGGGATACAATGATAGGAGTGAATCTTGTGAGGCCATCGGAAGTCGTAAATGCGGGCCTGAACCCGGTAAGCTGCGGTTCAACTCGACGAGACGATGAGCTTGAGGCCTCGGAAGACGAGTCAAAACCACTAGACGATGAAAAACTGCGCCTAAAACCGGCATCTTCGTCGACATTCCAGTCGGCAGTTACACGGTCGAACAAGTCGCCGAAATCCGGAACACGTGAAGCAAATGCTTCTTCACTGCGTTTCCGCATTTGTTCCTTCATTTCGGCGAATCGATCCCGATTGTCGGTGAAGAATTTATTGAAGGCCTCACGTCGATCGGCAAATTTTCGATCCGAGGCAGACATGAAATCTGAGAGATCATCATCAGCTACCCAATCCTTGGCAGAAAAGCCCGCCATCTTTTCTTGGCGCACACGTTCTCGTTCCATCTTCAGTTCCTTTGATGTTTTCAGAGTATTGGTACAAAAGGGAGAATAATGATCGTCTTCTGAGCCACCGCGTTGTCTGAAGCTGCCACTTGTACGGGAAAACCCCACGAGTGTTACGTCTTCGGAGGGTTTCCTAGGCAAGGTTTGGGCGATGTCGTGGATCGACTTCGATGCACGGCGGGTGGATTGTCTCCTTGCTGCAAAACTGACTAGTGTCACATCGTTTCCGGAATCATCGGACTTCGTGGATGAACCCCATCCGCCTGTAAAAAACGAACGATAGACCTTCTCTAGTAAGCAGTGCGACATGGGAACAGGCCCTTTTTTTTTTTCTAAGTCCATGAATATAATGCTTGCGAGGGATACAATGCTTAATATGATATAGAATTGATCAAAGGAGAATTTCCTGGAAGACTAACGACCTATATTGCGAGCTTACCTTCCGGACTTCAAAAACACGAGCTTCCACAGCCATGAAGCACAACTCTTACGCGTAAAAAATTGGGGAACACTCCGGCACGTAATTATTGCCGAGTTTTTCAGGCACATAGACTCACTAGAAGAAATGCATTTGAAAAAGGGATCTCTCTGGAAAATCATCCTCATACACTGTAGTACCAATGATGCTTACTAAACATGACTTAAAAACCAATATCATAGTTCCATGAATACCCCAGAATTTCGGATCGTTCGTCCAATTCTCCTTCGATTAAATCAATTTTCATCATTATTCAAGAATGAACAGCATCACGTTGAATTTCTGAACGCCCATGGGAATCCCCGAACAATTCAGCCGAACTACGCGGGGCAGCAAGCGAGGAAGCTCAGGCGAACCTTGGTGGTTCAGTTGGACGGTCGAACACCAGAATCTACCAGACCGGATCCATTATTACTTATACTGTACAACAGTACTGTACTGTACTTGTACTGATGAAGGAGCAGCAAAACAAAATTCAACAGATAAGTTCTTATGAACTTCCGTGGAATAAGTACAGAAGTACTGCTGTACTTGTATATTCTTGGATTAAGAGACTGCATGGATGATGCAACCCAGGAAGATTTAAATTCACAAGGATAATGCCAGAATTCGCACATATTAATTTACCAGCAAATTTGCCGTCAGCTTTGAATGATTTCTATCGCATCAATCTCTTTGAACGTATTCCGCGTGAATGCAATACGATTTTCAGAAATTTCCAATTATGTGACGGGGATGGGTTCCAATTATGTTATGTCAAAGCTCACCTGAAAATGTTCAAAGATGGATGGGACCTAATTATGTAGGGAACATTTACAGTACAGTATACAGGATTGAAGTACCTAAACCCTATTTTCAACACTGATCGACAGCCATCAGCACTCCCTCCCATCGAAATTCACTAAAAACCTCCTTTTTGATCACCATATCCCTCGCTTAGTTATTGTCAAGGCAAAAAAGCCGGAGTTTCTACACATGAAATTCAAACTTTTCGTCATCGATGGATCATCGTCTGTGATATGTGCGGAGCCAGAACTCACCGGAATCGCGCAGTTCACTGATACCCGACACCAACACAAGCACAGCAAACGCCTTCCTCACTCTCATTGACACGCGCACCTTAGACCTTACTTTTTCCCGCTTTACGAAGAATCGACACTTCCGAATAACTCGCAGCAGCTGTCGTCAACCGTATGTAGCTGATTCATCACTACTCTAAAATAGCATCATGACAGAGCTGATGAACAAGTCCTTGTCAGCCTTCAGAAATAGCGGGTGAGAATCATCAAGGAAAATAACACTTCTGTTCCTTCTGTAGGAGAAGGAGGAAAACGGTTCGTTCGTTTGACGTATAATTGAAGCATACGAGTGCCGTTAATGCAAAGAGGCGGGGATGGGTTACAGAACCAGACAAAGATTGCCCTTGACCTCATTATATTTGGTGTGTCCCCGAATCTGTGCGGAACAACTATTATATAAGGTTAACTACAGGAGTATCTGCTGCTGATGGTCGCCTGTAATTTGAACTGTGGAATTGTTTCCATTTGATGTTTTTGTGATTATTAATTTATCGGCCAACTTATTCCTAAATTCGGTGAATAAATATAGTAATTCCGTCCTATATACTGTAGCAATATTCTCATTTGAACGAAAGAGCTGTAATGCATATACTTACGGGACGGGACCCCATCTTTTAAACATACAGAACTGTAATTTATTTTGAATTGTATTTTCATGCAACTTTGTATTTTCATGCTTCATCAAAGAGTGTCCGAATTTTCCGATTTTGGGGATACATTTTCCTAAATATTCAACATATTACTACTGGCACCATCGATGCTGATCAAATTCTAGACTCGTGATGAACCCCTTTTTTATACAAAAGGAAAACGTAGTGCAGAAAATCATCAGAAAGATTCTAAACTTCGGTCTCGATACTCTCGAACAACAGTTTCCAAGGGTACATACAGTACTACAGTAAAGTACTGTATTTTGATCTCGTTATATTTACAGTAATGTCGTGAAAATCACAAAAATATTCGTTTCATAACTGTACCATGAAAAATAAATTTTAAAAGCGCACAGTGCTGAAGGTTTTAGTTCATATCGCTCATTGCGTGAATTATTACGTCATTTGTTCATTGTTTGATTATTTGAAGCAGGAAACATTTTATTCCGGGCGTATGTTTTCTTTCCGACTATATGAGATTATATCTCACGTTATTGCGGAGAAACATAGTTTTTTAAGTGGAGTTAAAATTTTTAATTACTAATCATATACTGTATTGTAAGGGTGGATTCCGACCACTGTTTAATCCAAAATGAGTTCACGCTGAAAATTACTTTATACAGTAGCTCTACTTATTTTTAATGGCCAAAATTAAATCTTTCCTTCGATCTGAAGCGCATTGTTGCAACTTGGACCGCATTTTTTTTTCATGATAATACGAAATTTTTTATAATACTTTTTTTTAGAAAATGGACTGCAGATAAAGTCGCAAATATAACAAACCCAACATGCCAAATTTTGGGCAGCTTTTGCATACACTGCATAGGCAGACAAAACTTTTGAGCGAATACGCCGCGTTGAACCGAATTTTTTTTTTATGGATACAAGAGCATACGATTTGTCACAGGAGTGATTTGTTCATGTCCAAAATTATAACATTGTTCGAATCAGGGGTTAACGGCAATTATCTGTCTCGTCAATCAATTATACGACAACCGAGTGGAGCCATCTAACGTAATTGAGACTTGGCGAGGTTCCCTTGTCCCCAATTCTTCCCCGTATAATTTTAAGTACCGTAATTGCCAAGTTTGACAAAATTATCAGGAATTTTCCGTCGTGGACTCGTGGGACACAGAATTTAGTATATCATGAAGAAAATAAGGCATTTCGTAAAATATGATGATTGTCAAACATGCTTGTATAGATTCCTGAACAAAAGAAAAACCCCTTGAATTTTTATCACTGTATGTGACATCTAGGACATTTTGCGTAAATTTCAAGATTAAAAACGTACGAAAAAATTACCGGAGTCGCGTCATTTTATTCCCACGCCTTGATTTGCGATATCATGACGATGAATCTTCACAAAAAATGTTCATCACAAAATAAAAAAAATTGTAATATTCTTCAACTGCCTTTTAGAATTCAAAACAAATGAACGAAATGAGAAGTCATAATACTCATAACCGAATTATATTTTTTTTATTCATATACATTCATACAGTATCGAAAAATGCATTTATTTCTGCCTTATTGTTTCCTCAGAGTCGGGTGAAGCTTACGGATTATTTTAGCTACAGGATTGTTTTCCCAGTTCGCGGGGAAATTTTTTTTTGCTAAAAATTTACTTTTAAATTTATTTAAATTAAATCGAAATTGATGATGCTAATTATTGGCTATCCTTGCTTTTAAATTGAGAGTCCTAGTATCTTTTGAGGCTTTCATGTATTTATCATTCCTTCAGCGTTTTCCCCTCGACCGATTTCCGAGTCAAGTTTGATTCTCAAATCGATTTTCATCACAGGAAATTACATAAACTTACTCGCTGTTGCATAAATATTTTCAAGACTGCGTTCCCATGCAACAGGGACTTCCCTCGAAATTTCTAACAAATGAAGCAGCAGAGCATAATTTTTCGCTTTCAGTTAATTCAAATAAAACTGCATGACCCAAGACAAACGGAAACCCGTTCGAACCCGGTGCCGTTCGGATCTTATTTATCAAACCAGCAGTTATATATATATATATATACAATCCTCCAGGGCTTCAGCACCATCACACAAAAGGCGCCTTTCACCAACACATCACAACTTACAACCTGCAATCATTGCCTTATGCATCCCACATGTCCACCCATTCCACCATCACCGACCCCAACAGGAAGATGATTAGCATTCTTCCCGGAATTTTGGTCAGGCCGAGAAAACTCCACCTGTCGGGTTCACTTCCGTCATTTATATGCTTCTATTACATGCGAGAGCACCTCCTTCACATCCGAATCGAAATATTTCCCCATTCAATAATACTGTAAAATAAAAAATATGCATTGCAAATAAATATGTACAGTTTATGTTTTTGAGCCCCGAGATGCATATGTGATAAATGCTGGATATTATTGTCCCTGTATATACGTCAGAGCATATGAATGTCAAATCACATTTTCCCATCGACTTCAATAGTGTGAACTTACTCAATTGAATCTCCAGTTCATGAAAAATTAGGTTTGAGTACCCCAGCAAGGTGAATAATTTGTTTTCTCTACTTCAAGATACATAAAATAACTGCGTACAGAAAAAATTCGCTCAAGATCTGATTTTTGGCAACAAAAAAGGGGTACAAAAAGCAGAAAACAAAAGCAAGTCATGCTATACTCTGCACCAATGATTGAAAAAAAAACTCAAAAAAGGAAACAATTATTTAGCAAAATCTGACCATTTGGGTATGAATTTGAGACGGTAAATTTAGAATAATTTTTTTTTTGTGTATACAGTGTGTAGACTTAAGAAGAGTATGGCTGAATTTGTTCGAGAGATTCGAATTTTGAAAAGTAATGTTTCTTTTTTTCTAGAAATGTTGGCGAAGTGTATCCGTATCTTATTGAAAAATTGTCTGGATATCGGGCAGATTTCTCCAGCAATCAAGTGTACCTAAATCGAGTCGTCCACATGTCGGGGTTCCAGTATATACTCGTATATAAATCATAAATACATGACATAAAATTTGCTGCTTGAGGAACATACGAAAATATTTGGAAAAAGGGAAGGCAAACGATTTTTTTTTTGCTAGACGCAGGAGTTTTTTGTTCGGGACGAAAATTTTGCGAGGAATAATTGATCTACGATGAAGTGGCTCCATATGGAATTCGGGTACTGCCTTGAAGATCAATTACTCTCAGGGGAATAATCAGCTTCCTGTCATATCTACCTCCATCATCATGACTATAATTATATCTCTGGCACCGCGGAATATAATGAGTCTGTCGCAAGAGATTTTTAGGAATCTGGCTCGTTTGTCCGACAGCATTTATAAATGGCTTTTTTTCCCTGTTTCCATCTTTATATGCAGTACTAAATATATTTTATAATATGCAGGTGGACTCTCTCATCTTGGACAAAATTCAAGGGACCAGAAAATAATTCCGTTTAGAAAGAATTTCGTTTGAGCGAACTTCAGAGGACAGTTATTTACATACAGATCGTTACACAAAGAAAATCGTTGCATATATAGTCCGCCTCAGTGTTTAAAAATAGTTTTTGCCGAGCAGCATGATTTTGAATTGAAATCCGATGAATATTGAGAAACCCCATCATCTGCAAAATTATTCCGCCGTAGTTGGGCAACAACTGAATCACCCTTGTCGATTCATGAAACCCAATAATCCTGTGCGAAAAATCTGGGTCAGGATTTGAAATGGCCGAGAATTAAACAACCGTCGATTGACATCATGCTCCGGGAAATATATCGGGAAATTCAGTATCAATAAGAAAAGCAATCACTAAAAGATTATATACCAGCCAATTTAAATTTTTGATCATCTGAGGACATCGGACGGGATGTAAATAATTGGGCAACAACCAATGGCCGGTCGACATTTATACATACACAATGTAATATATTAAGGAATAACTTGTTGGAAAATTGTGCTCGAAAGGGATTTGAAAATTCTGAAAAAGTGGGAAGAATTTCGGGTGAGGTTTGAAATTGGCACGAAATTTCAAAGAGAAAAAAGATCGGACTTACGGTCGAATCAGGAACGTCATCGATTAAAATATGGATTAGTCAAACAAACAAAAACAGTCGAGGAAAAATTCTGTACAAGCAAATACTGTAAATTGGAAAATGTTTCCCTAAGGAGATTTTTATTCAATAAAAAATCCTGATGGAGTTTGAGGAATTTAGGGTGAGGTTTGAAATTGGTGCCTCACTCCGCAAAAAATAAATAGCGCATTCCTGGTCGAAATCTTGAACTCCATCGATTAAAAAATTATTTGTAAACAACAACAAAAAGCCGAAAAAGAATACTGTACGAGCAAATACATTTTTTTAAATTCTTGCTTAAATGCGATTTTCCTTTCATGATTTTTCTATAGTAAAGTTT